ATTTTCACTTAGTATTATCTCTCAATCTTTCAATTTCTGAATTAGCCACGATGCAAGCCGACGTTGTATTGACCGTCGTGGGTGGCAGGTAAAACCAGTAACATATAACTAAAATGCAGAAAACTACCTTTGAAAGAAATAAGAGAGAATATTGACATAGACTATCCATAAATTAAAAATTCTCAGCCCCGGAGTTCAACGCCCAGACTATGGTACGCCATTCATCATTAATGCACAATGATGCTGTATAAATTATGGAAATAGAGATCAGTGTGCTTGTTTGAGAAATTTCACCGGGTATTTACATCTTATATTTGAAGGTACATGAATGATTAAATAAAAGGTCAATGGGTCAATGAAATATGTATTTTAAATATTCAATACCAGTTCTGTAAACACAAGTGTTAAGCAAATATTATCTTTATTTGACAGACAAGGTTATATTGTTAGTGCTGAATATGTATATATATTTTTAAAACTATCACGAGTTACCTTCACCACGTTCAAAGAAACAAACCTTAAAAACATAAAAGTTGAAGTTATTATAAAGATCAACCGGGGCACTGTTACGAATATAACTCAAACGTACTTCTAGTGCAACGAATATAAAATGTAGCTCCCAACAAAAGGGGAGTTGCATGTGTACATCAATATTCCCCATTTTGCCGGATAAAGCTCTCTCTCTCTCTATATATATGTAATGTCAATGGTAAAGTTTAATCATCATCCTTAGAAACCTTATCATCATATTTTAAGTACAAACATCCTCTTCTTCTTCAATACTTCATCCCCATCATTAGGTTCAGCAGTAAGTACATCATCATTATAGGAACATCATGATGATGAGGGTATCCTTGTAATAAACGTCATCATCATCACCATTAATATATCATAGTCATCATAAGAACATCACCAACAACAACATAATCTTTACATCATCATCATCGGTACCACAATGATTATCGTCCGCAGAATACCTTAATCATAATAAGAAGTAGCAGCAGCATTTATTCAAAATCCAGACAGGCCTGCCTTCCTTTGACCTTATATTCCAACAATACATGTATATGTTTCAATGTGATGATGATGATGATGATGATGATAGACGTGATGATGATAGACGTGATGATGATTTGATGATGTTGAACGTTATAAAGATTTAAATAATGGTGATGTCAATGATTATGGTGGCGAAAATTGTTCTGAGTTTGGAGCAGATAATGGTGGTGAATTTCTTATCATTGACCAGCATCAAGACGAGGATATCTATTCGTCAAAGCGAGGCAATTTTAATTCAATGCATGTTGTAAAGCTCTTGAGGAAATATATGCGTTACAGCACAATGAATAAAGATCCCCAGAGAACACCGGAACACCTCACAACCTTTGAGAACACGTTGACGACCTTTTAATTACATTGTTCAAAAGCACAAATATACTTAATATTGATTTAAAAGGCTGCATTACTATTTCCATTAATAACCCATTTAATTTGCATATGAAGTTATTTTTAACAAAATAGCCATCAAATTACGTATTCATGAATGTATTCTATATTTTCTATTATAAATATACTTAATATCGAGTTTAACCGTCGAGTCCAAACGTCAATATCACATTCGTTTATGACAAGTAGGATCTTACACATATTTTTGTTTGCTTACTTATATTAACATAATTCTGAAATCTAGTTTTGATAAGTCCATCACAAAATACATCAGTTTGTCAAAGTTTAACTTTTTGGCTGGTTGTCAATTAATCAGATTTCTCTGTAATACTTTTCCGTTGTAACCATGAAACGTTATAATATTCATCTGTAGAAATCATGTGTAAAACTCATCTGTAAAGCACATTAGAACTACTCATCTGTAGAACTCATGTATAATAGTTATCTCCAGAAGAACTTATCTGTAATATTCATCTGTAGAATTTATGCATAATACTCATCTATAGAACTCCTGTGTAATACTTATTTGTAGAACTCATGTATAATACATGTATTCATCTGTAGAACCCATTTATAATACTCATCTGTAGAACTTATCTCTACAGCTCATGTGTAATACGGATTTCTAATACTGCTTCCCATTACAAGCCACGAGGTAGACTTTTTTAATCCGTTTAAACTGTGAGATGATTATTAATTCCTGGCGAGGTCTTCCTGGCTATTTTTTCCTGTAGAATTCATCTGTAAAACTCATCACTATTATTCATAATAATCTGTAGCAGTTATCTGTAATAATTATCTATGGATAACGGACGTTTTTTAGGTTAATTGTCAAAACGTATAATTAAAAAAATAGATCAAACGAAACGTTGTTTTATACATTTAAAGTTTATTGAAAAAGTCAACGCACAGGCGCATCTAATGGAAACATGATTTTTTTTTTATTTAAGAAAAAAAAAAGAGAATGGCAAAACCAGATAAGAAAATCATTAAAAGTGTTTCGGCGTTGAGAAAATTGAACAACAATAAAACTTGAAATTTATTTGAGATTTAATACTGTACACATGAGCCGCGTCACGACAAAACCAACATAACTACTTGCGTCTGCGACCAGCATGGATCCAGACCAGCCTACCAACTCTATTACAAGTAGAGAAACTGATAGCGAACAGCATGGATCCTGATCAGACTGCGCGGATGCGCAGGCTGGTCTGGATCCATGCTGGTCGCAAACCCATTATGTTGGTTTTGTCGTGACGCGGCTCATATCATATCAGAATTTCTATGAAACACAAAACACCTTGACGAAACCACCTAACATTTTAAAATTTGATAACACAATTTATAGTAACTTTTAGGATCACATGTTTATATTTAAGAACAAATTTGAGCTAAGCACCGATTTGTATTTAAATTCTAAATAAAGATTGCGGTTATCTGTTAATGAATGTTTATAGCAAATATTTTTATGCTCCATTGACTGTATCCGAACAGATAACCACTTATTAAGTTCCTACTTAAAATAGTTGAAGATTATTCTGATGTAACCTGGCAAGTACTTATTCATAAAGGTGCCTTTTTGTCATTATAAGTTTTCGTTACCTTTGTAAGTTGTAAAATTCATCTATACCATTCAACCGTTGAGATGATGACACTGGCGATCTGTGTCAATGACATTTTCTTCAACTTAATTTTCATTTTGAACTTTAATGGGACTTGGTCATCCACATCTATTAAAGCAACTCTTCGAGACCGTTTTATTTTATTTTCATTTTTTTTCTCTTCTTTTTTTTTAAATTTGTGTGTGTGTGTTTTTTTGTTGTTGTTGTTGTTGTTGTTGTTGTTGTTGTAGTTTGTTTGAAGTTTGTGTGTGTTTTGTTGTTGGTGTTTTTTCGTGTTTTTTTGTGTTTTTTTGTGTGTGTTGTGCGTGTGCGTGTATGCGTATGTGCGTGTTTTTTTTGTTGTTTTTTTTTTTGTTTGTTTTAAGAAATACTCGTAGAATTACGTATAAAATCATGCTTTCATATTTTTATGACTTCATTTTTCCTAACAACAAGTATTCGAGTTAAATACTACATTACTGTCTCATACCTGAATATTTCTTATTTCTTTAAGCATCGCTCTCGTTAATTTTTGAATACACGCTTTCCTTGATTCAAATCTGTTATCTATGCATCATTGCTTATGTTTGTTTTAATTCTATTATTCATATTGTGACCATTATATGCTGTTTATATATCACGTTTTAAATTTGAAGGAAATAAAGAAATATACATTTTCTATATCAATTATTAATATTTGATGTGCGATTTAGAAAGTTGAACATTGCGGTCTTCCCCTTCGAGCGAAAGCTTTATTTCGCATTCCGCTTATAGCATAAAATGGTTGTTGCAATGACCATTAATTCAAGAGTGCGTACCTTCACAGAAGGAAATCTAAATGATCAATTTGAATAAGGTTTAAACGATTTTTAACCATGGAACGGTTTGTGGACAGCTATTACAAATGAACGACCATTGCTTTGGCAATTATTTATAAAACTGGACTATTAAAAATCCTTTTCGTGTGAAAGCATTTACACCATATTTTGAGTTTGTAAAGATTTTACAGGTTATTAGGATAAGTACAATATAGATGTGTGGTCGAAGGTTATATAACAGAACGTTAGTGTCCAATTGCACAATAAACCTATCAAACGACCATTTAGCCTGTCAAAATCCATATTAACTATTTATTCTTCACGACCATTTATTTAGCTTGTCAAAAGTCTTATTACCAATTTATTATGATGCATTCTTTGTTTAAAAAAAAGAAATTAATTAATATTTTTAAAGAAGTGCATACCGATAATAGAAATGTTTTAATTACCAAATGAAAATTGACTTTCTGTAGAAATGAACAGTATTGTAAATATTATTAGAAAAATTATCTTTGTAATTACCGAAGAACGGAAAAGTACCGAAATCTCTGGTACTTGTTCAAAAATTATATCAACTTATAAAATAAGCCCCGCTCTTCATTACAAAGACTCAATTATAGTTTTCCAATTCATCTTAAACGATCACATCTTTTATATGATAGGCAACACTCGTTGTATTGAATATTGCTGTAGATTTCAAAAAATGAACGTTTTAATGCAAAGTAAAAAAGATGTCCTCCTATGGTTCAAAAATTGGTTTAAAAAGCGTCAAAGTTCGGTAACTAAAGATAAATCTGAAATATTGAAAACAGTTTTTAAACCACCATCAAAACGGGAGAAAAACTTAAACTTTAGATTTCTATTGGCCTTAAAATGTCATGTGACATAAATACATAATATATGAGCCGCGTCACGACAAAACCAACATAATGCGTTTGCGACCAGCATGGATCCAGACCAGCCTGAGCATCCGCATTCATGCTGTTCACTTACCAACTCTATTACAAGTTGAGAAACTGATAGCGAACAGCATGGATCCTGATCAGACTGCGCGGATGCGCAGGCTGGTCTGGATCCATGCTGGTCGCAAACGCACTATGTTGGTTTTGTCGTGACACGGCTTATATATGTAAAACAGAAGACATGACAAGCAATCATAAATCGAAGTAAGTAAGCTGACAGGTACAAAATAAAATAAGTTTAAGCGTGGTTTTTAGCTACAGAAGTACTGGATTAAACATCGTTTATTAAGAAATGGAGCAAATAGTGATGCTTGTTTAAGCTGTTGACCTGAACATGGTTTAATTTATTACTAATAAGCCAGAAAATAACAGCCTTTTATAAAAGGTCAGGACTTAATAGTGATATTGTTGTTTTACTTTATATTATAAACGTGTTTATAATTGTGAGAAATATGGATGAAAACAACGTTGTGGACAGAAAGACGGTAAAAAGTACTGATGGAAACACAATAGTATTAGAAACAGACCGCATCCGAGTGAAAGAAAGAATAGGACTGTGGGGAGGAATTGCGTTTATCATGGGAGCGGTGATTGGATCGGGAATTTTCATCTCTCCAAGGGGGGCGCTTAAAAATTCAGGATCTGTTGGGATGAGTCTTGTTATCTGGGCTTTATGTGGATTTTTGTCGATGGTAATTGGGCTTGTCTATGCTGAACTCGGCGTCCTTCTGCCAAAATCTGGTGGAGATTACACTATTATTAAAACGGGCATCGGAGGTATTCCTGCTTTCCTTGTCTCTTGGACACAGTGCACTGTAACACATAGTGGAAGCCGTGCTGTTCTGGCTCTCGTATTTGCAGACTACGTCTGTGCTCCAATATTTGGAAAGTGCGAAGCGCCGGACAGCATACGAAAATCAATAGCCGCCGTAGAGCTTTTGCTTCTTGCCATTACGAACACAATTAGCGTTCGTCTCGTCTCTTCTATGCAAGGATTATTCACGTGTCTTAAGATTTTGGCTCTGATCGTTATAACCGTCGGAGGATTTGTTTACCTTTTCCAAGGTAAAACAGAGAACTTCAATGATTCTTTTCATGGTACAACAGATGATGTTACATTAATAACATTAGCAATATACAGCTGTATGTGGGCATACGGTGGATACATAAACTTGAATGAATTTGCTGAAGAAATCATTCAACCGAAGAAAAATATTCCAAAAGCAATCATCATTTCAATGACATTAGTCACTATTATTTACATCACAACAAATGTGTCGTACTTTGTAATGTTGGAAAAATCAGAGTTTCTAACTGTCCCAGCTGTTGCATTCACGTGGGGCGAACGTGTCTTAGGATCTGCAGCCATACTTATACCGATAAGCGTTATGTGCTCCGTACATGGGGCCTCCAATGGTGGTTTTTTCAGCGATGTCAGGGTACGATTTGCAGCTGCGCGCGCAGGTCATTTACCGGAAGTTCTTTCATTTTTACATCACAAATCTCGAATACCCTTGGCGTCTCTTTTCTTAAATACCGTGGTGTCCTTGATTCTGTTGATTCCAGGTGATATAGGAGAACTAATTAACTTGGTCAGTTTTGTTGGATTTTTAACGAATGGTCTTGCAATAATCTCTTTTCTGCGAATACGTTATCTACGTCGAAATGATGTTAGGAACAAGAACGACTTCAGAATTCCATTATTCATTGCTGTACTGGCTTTGGCAATATGTGCATTTATGGTTATAGCGCCGTTCATATCCAATCCGAAAATAGAATTTATGTATGGCGTCGGCTTTGTTTTGTCTGGACTCATTTTGTATATTCCTTTTGTTTATTTTGAATGGCGTTTACCTGGTTGTGATAAAATGACTTGTTTGATGCAATTGCTTATGGACATATGTCCCACTGTGCTTGATAAAGATTTGGATCCTTGGATGGAGGAAAGCAAGTGATGTCATAAAAGGAGTTTGTATTACAATTCTTTGACAGACAAACATTCTTTCGCCGTTATTTTTTATACAGACATGGTATTTGTAAATAAATGAACATTTTCTAAACAAATTAATTATGTACATGATGGTAATGATAATAAAACATTATTTCAAATGTAACGCTTGTTTATCAGTTGTTCTTGTTTGTAGATTATTAAACATCAGAAATTTCCTAAAGTAAAGTTAAGGTAGACCACCCATAATGCATTACCCCCACTTTGAAGAGTATTAATTAAATAGGCTAGAATCATTTGTCAACTGCATTGAAACTGAGGAGCGTGGGTTCTAACTCCAGAAGGGGCGACCACTGGAGTAAAAAAGTTTCTTGCTGTTTCAAACAACTGTTATAAAATATCGAGGTGTATACGTTCCCCGCAACATTTTGTACGATTTCGGAAAAAAATCTCACGGGTTTGTAAGTTGCCCGCGACGACGTTTCATGATAAAACAATAAAATTTCTCGAGGTTTGAAATGGCTGCAGCCGGCCACCATAGATTTGCAATTGTTTTGAAATTATTCATTACACACATTTTCAGGTGATAATTTGGAAATCTGTCGTATATTATCGTGGGAGGTCTGTACAACAAGAATTACAAAATAGAACGCGTTGCAAAGCCTTTCGCTTAAATCAGGCCAAGAAAAACACAACAATGTGTTTTTCAATTCATTTCTGAATATATTGCTTTACAATCTTTTGCATATTTTTCTGTTTTAAGTGCCCAAACTTATCTTTGTTAGAAATTCGAAATTTATGTGTTATGTGTTTGAACCTCAGAGGAGTTTCTTTAAAAACATTGTACCCAACTGCATGTACATGGAAATCTCTATTGGTGTTGTATAAGTACTTCTAAATATATCTGTCTGTTAAGGCCTTACCCTTTGTGAGAAACTTGACTTTATAAACAGGCTTGTTAGGTCAGAAACATGACAAATCATCAGGAGGGCATATGTTTACATCACAAGTACGAATCATATTGAGTTATTTTGTATATATTCTGTATCTATATGTTTAATTTTACGAATAACTTTCTTGGTTTATACAGAATTTATTTTAGTTCGATTGTATAGGAAGCTATAAGCTTATAGACACACTTTCGAATCCGTTCCTGGAACCAACCAGTACTGAGCAATGAGTGTAAAGTTTCTTGCTCAAGGAACTTTCTTATTATTTATGTATCTATTTTTTATATTATCAAGAAATACATGCAAACAAAAACAAAACAATACAAAAATTTCCCTTTCTTCAGATAGTAGTTTTATACACGTCTGTTACAATATCGACTTATAATGTTATATGCACCTGGTCGTACGCCAGTCCTTCCATCTGTATCTTTTCAACCTAAAGAAGAAAGTTGAACCCACTAAGCGAAAATGTCACCAGAATAGGACGCTGAACTGATCACATATTCTCAATACCAAAGTCATACTTATTTAGTTTATATGAATTTCAAAATTGTATGTCGTCTATGTATTTTCGGACAGATGAAAGGAAATTTAAACCATTCTACATTGTAATAATGTTACTTATAATGAGGAGCAAAACGCAGGTTTGACCTTCCTTTGATCAGGGTAAAAGTTAAATTTAATGTTTATTTTATATATCGAAGGGAGAATACTCTGTAAAGACTACTATGAAGGATTTATAAAAGGAAAATTCTTTGTCATTACTTTTTTGAGAATAAATTGCTAGTCCATACAATAGAGTATTCTTCTACATTTCACCAACTATCGCCAGTCATTCGGCAAGCGCTTAAAGTGTTTAAAGGGACTTCACTGAGGTTTTTTGACATGATGGGACTGAAAATATTTTTTCCAGATAAATGTACCATTTGATGTAGGTTTAGACCACGAATCTTTGTGCAAACTTTCAGATCATTCGCGCACTTGTTTTTTTTTCCATAATAATTATTAAAATTGCAAAAAAATGACCCAAAATGAAAAGCGTTTAAACGCTTTTCACTCAAATTAGGCTAAGAAAAGCATAAAACTACGATTTTCGATTCATTTTAAAGTATATTTCTTAACTATCTTTTGCATATATTTCTGTTTAAAGCGCCCCAGTTCATTTATGTAAGAAATTCTAATGTTATGTTTTTAGGCTATTAAACGTCAGTGGAGTCCCTTCAATATATATATATGTATATTTCGATTTTTTTTCATTTCCAAGGTCCTGAAATCTGTATCACATCACTATTGTACTCCCAGTAATAAAAATTTGTCAGCATGCCAAAAAATGGTGGTGTGAAATAAAGAGGTCATTATACAATGTGGAGTACAAATACTGTTTCTTTTAGACTGGTACACAGCTGCGAAAACCTGTATTAAAGTAGTCACCCACCTTGTCTAATTAATATAGATTTGGGAACTGTGTACTCGCCCAATATAAATCTGTTTTGTAATCAAATATGTGTAGTAATGATAACAATACATCTTTATAATTCTGTAAAATCTTGTCTTAAAGAAAATACTTTGTTTTGTGTAACATAATTTGCGGTTATAAGACATTGTTGAGTTAAAAAATAAAACTGTTTTAGTTGAATTTTTGTGGGCATTTTAGCTTTTTTATAAGACAGATACGGAAAATTTAAACAAGAGTTAACTTAGCATGATGAAAGACTCTTGTGTTTGAAACAAATTAATGAAAAATATTGGGGTCACCATCCTATTTTTTTGTTATCTGCTACTCGAACTAAGATATTGATTTGTTTCAATCATAATTCCTTTCATCGTGCAAAATTCAAGAAAATTATCTGCGCTACTTTAAATCCATTGTAAAAATACTAAATTGTCCAAATTTATTGCCCTTTTACTTTACATGATAATTCGATTTTGTCCACATTCAATCTGGTCAAAATCGTATGGTTATATACATTCTTCACAAGTAATATATTAATTATGTTTTTTTTCTGTAGATTGCAAATGACAATATAACATCGGCGTACGAAGGCCAGAATAAAAAAATCCAAACAAATTTATTTACATAAATTTATATGCGTTTAGTCATGTGATAAAAATAAAATCACTAATGTTCCCATAGCATATCAAAATATTTGTACATTGTATATATAATGCGAGCCTTTGGCGAGTTTAAATACTATTGACTTTAATTCAGTATGCAACATTTTATATTGTATGATAACGAATATGAGATCATGTATACATTGGGAATGTCGCAAACTGTAATATAAAAATGTGAAATGCAGATTTTTTCTATCGTTTTAAGGGCCCGTTATACTAGAATTTTTTTTTTCGCATGGCGGAAAATCAAACTTGGTATCATATGGTACTGATAAAAGTTTGTTTTGTTTTTGTAAAGATCTAAAAGTTCCAGATTTCGCATAATATGAAATATCTCAGATTTTGTCGGTCAACAGTCAAAAAGTCTTGGCATAATGATGAATTTAGCCCAGAATAAAAATTGCTAAAAACTGCTTCATACCAAATCATAACATTTCAAGATTCACTCAAATCATAAATGTCTAGAAAAAAGTAATCCTTCGGAAGAATAAAAAACAGATCAAAATTACATGAAAATTGCAGCCTCGGTTTGATTGAGTATGTACATGGGGGTATAGAAAAAGTGAAACATTTCTCATGCCCCCTAGCACCGGCTTGAACGGTACTCAATTCTCAACACTTAAAAGCGCTGGAATCAATGATCCCGAAGGACCAGACTAAAACAAAACAACATTTCTGTTCCGATCAGAGTATTGTGAACGTAATTTAAGTTCAAAAAGTTAAATGCAAGTCTTGTACAACTTTATGTACCTCCGATTTTAGCAATAAAATGACATAAATTGAGAATGCTTTACACCAAATTACCATTTGAAATTTTCATTTGAAATTCTGCATCTCCTCAGAACCACGATTCGAATGTTTGAATGAAGTGCGCCTTTGAGCTTGAAACCATGGCAGTGGAGAAATGAGAACAATGCTGTTCACTTTCAGTTTCTCTACGTGTTATAGGGTTTGTAAGCGAACAACATGGATCCTGATCAGACTGCGCGGATGCGCAGGCTGGTCTGGATCCATGCTGGTCGCAAACCCATTATGTTGGTTTTGTCGTGACGCGGCTCAAATATTAAATTGCTCGTTTTGCACTGCTTCTTTTCTTTCGTTTTTAAACTTTTTGAAATGAGAGAATTAGCTATGAAAATATGAATTGGTATTTGTTTGTTTATATACCATTAAACTTAACATATCATTCTAATGTCACAAGTCAACTGGGATGGCCAAATTGCTGCATGCCAGGTATAAACACAATCATTAAAAACCTTTAAAAGTTATCATGTGGAACAAATAAATTATAACTAACAGAAAATTTGCTTAAAATTGAAGCATAACTTCATCAATTATAGTTGACTGCAGAGAAAATCGATCTTAACTTGTGTTTGGATATTACATACGTACATGCAAAGTATACACAATCATTGGAATCCTTAAAAAGATATTCTGAAGAAAACCAATAATATCTATAATAATTCTGTCTATAATAAGTTTATTGCAACGATCATCGAATTTGGTCTGTGATATAACATACTTACATGCCAAAGTTACACAATCATTTAAATTCTTTAGAAACCAATACTTTCATAAGAAATGGGGTAAAAAGGGGGCATTTCTCTAACAAAATACGTTGATGCAGTGAAAATCGAATCCTGATATAAAATCCTTACATGCCAAATTTAAACACAAACATTAGAATCCTTCAAAAGTTATCCTGTGGAAACCAATTTTTTTGCAACGTCATACAGTATGGTATGGTGGCTGATTTGGTACGCTTTTGTGCGTCACGTTGGCGCTAGCGACAGCACGACAAAGCGCAAAACATCGCGTTGTCGCGCTGTCGTCTTGTCTAGCGCGGCACGCAAAACGACGCGTTGTCGTGCGGCGTGTTGTCGCGATGTCACATTGTCGCTCAGTTCAAATTGAAGGATTGAGTTATAAGCCAAGCGACAGGGCGACATTGCGACAACGCGCCGCACGACAACGCGCCGTTTAGCGTGCCGCGGTAGCGACAAGATGACAAGACGAAAGTCCAACAACGCGCGCCAACTAGACACACAGAAGCGTACCAATTACCAATTACTGCAGGAACATTTTGTGAAAAATGGCTGTTTTCATTGAAAAGTCTCCCTTACAAGGTTCAAATTGCTATAAAACTATAAAACTGTTTCAATACTTGGCACAAATGTTGACTGGACGATTATCTTTGTAACGACATGCTCAGTCTTAAATTTCCTGTTACCATGGCAACAAGGGAACATTTCAAAATTGCCAAAAGTCACTATTTTGCGTTGAATTTTTTCCATCAAAATTGATTTCACAGTGCTGCAACTTCTCAATGGATTGAGATAGAGTCAAAGGCTTTTCAGCGTTGGTTACACGTTAACTTATAATCGACCTGAGGTCATTTTAGCCTCTCATAAGTCCAAAATTTTCTTGGAGATGAGGGGGGGCTGCTGCCCCCTTCAAATCCCAAACAGAAGGGAGCACATACCCGTCTAGTACCCTTCTAATGTACATTTTGGATAGGGATGGCGCCGAAAAAGTGATCACTTATTTCAACAACTTTTCTCAAACAAAAACAGGTGTTGGGGGCCTAAATAAAGCATTTTTTCACCATTGAGACAACAAAAAGTGGAGTGAAAAGGCGTAGAAAGGCGTGTATTGGGTTTAACAGAAAATGATGAAAGTACTTGAAATTACCCAAAATCGAGTTATTCATGTTAAAAATGGCATAACATAATTTTAAAGAAAAAAATGATAATTGAAGATTTTTTTTTTCAGTAATGAAAACATTGCAAGAACTGAACAAATGAAATATTAAAGTAAAATAACATCGCATAGTCATATATACGTATGTGACTTAAACGAGTTCGAAGTCACGTGATTAATATTTTTGTTCATAAATATTCACCACGATTTAATTAATGAAGGTTACGAAGCGAACAAAATCTCACAGAGTATTAGAAAGGAATTAATATTTTAGACACGGAGTGTGTTTGGGGGGTGAGTGGTCACGAGATGGAGGGCACGATATATGTAAGCCATACATCTGACACATTTTCAACAGAAAGGTCCCCAAACTATGATACAATATTGATTGTATCATAGTTTGAGGCTTTTTCTGTTGAAATTGTTTGAGAGTTAAATCGTATGCACATACATCACGCCCGTTTAACTCACAACGAGTGAAAAATGTCCATCGGTAAAAATGTTGTGAGCAACTTCCGTTCCTCGTTGTGAGCACCCATCTTTGACGTGTGACACGATAAACAGGGTGAGTTTTTCATAATTTTTGAAGATTACAGACATTTATGTAAAAATATCGGAATGCAGTTAGCTAGCGATGTGTTTTCCGAGTATGCACATGTAAAGATATTGCCTGTTGGTGGACAATTTGATGGAAATATCGTGCGACGCAGTCACTCGGGGTAGCTGGAAAACTGGAGACAACTTCTCTTTGGACCTAATTTAACATTGAAAACGTCGATTCTGGTGACGTTTTGTGCATTCCAACCTAAAACAGATGCCCACAAGTCTTCAGCGTAAATTATTTTCTGAAAGTCTTCATAGAAACGAAGATATACCCTTTTTTGCTTTAATCCTCGTTGTGAGCACCATAACCTCGTTGTGAGCAAGACAAGCGCAGTGCGTGTATGGTTTTAATATGTAATTGAGATGGTGAAAATATAATTTTCAATCTACCACAGCAATTTAAACGTTTTTGCACAGCAGCATTTTTTGCAAGACGTTGTGCATACCCCAAAGGGTGGCATATTAGTTTTGAACTATCCGTATGTCAGTCCGTCAATCTGTCTGAAAACTTTAACATTGGCAATAACTTCCTTATTAGTAAACGGATTTGATTCATAATTGAACACAACATCCCTTAGCACCTTCCAACGGACCTGTATTTTTTACCTTGACCCCTGAATGGCCTTTACCTTGAAGGTCAAATTGTCCAAAAACATTTAAGATTGGCCATAATGTCCTGGCATAATGTTTAGGCACAACACATCTTTGGACAAGGCCTTTCAACTATCCTATAATCTTTTGACCTTGACCTCTGAATGACCTTCACCTTGAAAGTCAAATTGTCCAAAAACTTAAAAATTGGTCATAACTTCCTTATTAGTATACGGATTCTACTCATATTTTGAAACAACACCCCTTTAGGCAAGACCTTCAAACTGATCTGTATTTTTTTACCTTGTACCGTGAATGACCTTCTAGAACATCCACAAACTTTAACATTGGTCATATCTTCTTTATAAGTAAGTGGAATTAATTCATATTTGGACACAATGCCCCTTTGGACAAGACCTTCCAACTGACCTATATTTATTTCACCTTGACCTTGAATTACCTTCACATTGAAGATCTAATTGTCCAAAAACAAATAATCTATCTGGTCATTAAATCAAAGGACAAAGCGCCACTTCAGGGGCATTGTCAACTTACCGTGATAGTTCTTGTTTTACATAACTTGGCCAGTCTTCAGCTCAGGATAAACACATGTATGTGTGCACATTGTTGAAATGTTCATAAACACCCCGTGATGTTCACTCGTGCCACACTAGAGTATACGAAATTAAATACATTGTACCTGATTTACCTCCACTGATTAGTTCTTCTGTTAATCTGATGACTTTGAATATGAATAATAATTTTCAAAAAAAAAGAAAAAGAAGAACTATTGCAAAGAAAAACTATTGTACAAAAACGTTTTGATTGCTTTTGGTAGATTGAAAATTGTATTCTTGCCATTTGAATTACATATTAAAACAAGACAAGCACTGCGCTTGTCTTGCTCACAACGAGGCTATGGTGCTCACAACGAGGATTAAAGCAAAAAAGAGTATATCTTCGTTTCTACGAAGACTTTCAGATAATAATTTACGCTGAAGACTTGTGGGCATCTGTTTTAGGTTAGAATGCACAAAACGTCACCAGAATCGACGTTTTCAATGTTAAATTAGGTCCAAAGAGAAGTTGTCTCCAGTTTTCCAGCTACCCCGAGTGACTACGTCGCACGATATTTCCATCATATTGTCCACCAACAGGTAATATCTTTACATGTGCATACACGGAAAACACATCGCTAGCTAACTGCATTCCGATATTTTTACATAAATGTCTGTAATCTTCAAAAATTATGAAAAACTCACCTTGTTTATCGTGTCACTTGTCATAGATGGGTACTCACAACGAGGAACGGAAGTTGCTCACAACATTTTTACCGATGGACATTTTTCACTCGTTGTGAGTTAAACGGGCGTGTACATGCACAGTGCGTTTAACTGGAGTGCAGGTATTAGTTACCCGCACTCCAGAAGTTGATTGGCTCATATTTGCTGGGGTTTATTATTATGACCACACCCGTTTAACTCACAACGAGTGTAAAATGTCCATCGGTAAAAATGTTGTGAGCAACTTCCGTTCTTCGTTGTGAGCACCCATCTAGGACGTGTGACACGATAAACAAGGTGAGTTTTTCATAATTTTTGAAGATTACAGACATTTATGTGAAAATATCGGAATGCAGTTAGCTAGCGATGTGTTTTCCGTGTATGCACATGTAAAGATATTGCCTGTTGGTCGACCATTTGATGGAAATACCGTGCGACGCAGTCACTCGGGGTAGCTGGAAAACTGGAGACAACTTCTCTCCGGACCAAATTTAACATTGAAAACGTCGATTCTGGTGAAGTTTTGTGCATTCTAACCTAAAACAGATGCCCACAAGTCTTCAGCGTAAATTATTACCTGAAAGTCTTCATAGAAACGAAGATATACCCTTTTTTGCTTTAATCCTCGTTGTGAGCACCATAACCTCGTTGTGAGCAAGACAAGCGCAGTGCATGTCTGGTTTTAATATGTAATTCAGATGGTGAAAATATAATTTTCAATCTATCAAAAGCAATCAAATCGTTTATCACATTCAATGATTGGTAATAGTTTGTTCAAAGGACGGGTTCAAAATTGATATAACTTTTCACATAATCGAACCACAATATATATTGTTCAATTTTAACAAATTTGCATTTGGGCGACTATTTCTCCGCAAAGGCGGCGTTCTTAACAGATATGTCACCCCCTACACTCTCAAAAAATAAAATAAACAGAAATATGTCACAAAAAAATAGTGTAATAAATAGTCATTGTTTTTTTATAATTACATTGTATCAGAAGTATTTTACAGAAAAGATCACAATAAGATTACATAAAAACCTACCTGATCATGTTACACTAATTTCTCTTTTCATCATTCTTCGGTAAAGAACGACAAATGCAAATGAAAAAGTGGCTTTTGGTTTAAATTTCAAAAGCTGAATGATTTTTATAGTTTCCTCAATTTATCAACCATCGACCTTTTTTTTAAATAGTAAAATAATTTTCTTTCAAGATGAATTTACTGCATTTTACCATTTTTACATATAAAGGCATATCTTTACCCAAACTGTGCACAAATAATAATATTCTGTATGGCCTAAATGCCACGTGACAGAAATATATTATACGTAATATATGTAAAAATGACATGACCAGATCATCATTAACGGATAGGACAGTAAAAAATACACAAAATAAAGCGCTGCTGAGTTTTAGCCAAAGGTGTTTGGAAGCACAGGACAATAATCAAATAGACAATTGAAGTCGTTGATTAAAGACAAGCGCTTTACGATTAAATCATTATCTTTGGCTAAACGTGTTTCAAATTTTGAGAATAATGGATCAGAGCGAAAAGGCGGTGACAAGCATCGATGGAAATAAAATTGAAGTTACTGTAGAAACAGACCGCATCCGAGTGAAAGAAAGAATAGGGCTATTTGGAGGTATTGCGTTTATCATGGGAGCGGTGATTGGATCGGGAATTTTCATCTCTCCAAGGGGAGCATTAAAGAATTCTGGCTCTATTGGGATGAGTTTGGTCATCTGGGCTTTATGTGGATTTTTGTCAATGGTAATTGGACTTGTCTATGCTGAACTCGGTGTTCTTCTTCCGAAATCTGGTGGAGATTACACTATCATCAAAACAGGCATCGGAGGTATTCCTGCGTTTCTTATATCTTGGACACAGTTTACTGTAACACAAAGTGGAGGTCGTGCTGTGCTGGCTCTTGTTTTTGCGGACTATTTCTGTGCTCCAATATTTGGAAAGTGCGAAGCGCCGGACAGCATACGAAAGTCAATAGCTGCCGTAGAGATTTTGCTTCTTGCTATTACGAACACAATTAGCGTTCGTCTCGTTTCTTCTATGCAGGGATTATTCACGTGTTTTAAGGTTTTGGCACTTATCGTTATAACCGTCGGAGGATTTGTTTATCTTTTCCAAGGTAAAACAGAGAATTTCAATGATTCTTTCCACGGTACAACAGATGATATATCAATAATAACATTAGCAATATACAGCTGTATGTGGGCGTACGATGGATATACAAACTTAAATGACTTTGCTGAAGAAATCATTCAACCGAAGAAAAATATTCCAAAGGCAATCATTATTTCAATGACATTAATCACAATCATCTACATCACGACAAATGTTTCATACTTTGTAATGTTAGAAAAATCAGAATTTCTAGCAGTCCCAGCTGTTGCATTCACGTGGGGCGAACGTGTCTTAGGACCTGCTGCCATACTCATACCGATAAGCGTTATGTGCTCCGTACATGGTACCTCCAACGGCGGCTTTTTCAGCAATGTCAGAGTACGATTTGCAGCTGCGCGCGCAGGTCATTTACCTGAAGTTCTTTCATTTTTACATCACAAATCTCGAATACCCTTGGCGTCTCTCTTCTTAAACACTGTTTTCTCCTTGGTTATGCTGATTCCTGGTGATATAGGAGAACTAATCAACTTAGTAAGTTTTGTTGGTTTTTTAACAAACGTGCTTACGATAATCTCTTTTCTGCGAATACGTTATCAACGTCGAAATGATGAAAGGAACGAAGACGACTTTAGAATTCCATTATTTATAGCTGTACTGGCTTTGGCAATATGTTCATTTATGGTCATAGCGCCATTCATATCCAATCCAAAAATAGAATTCATCTATGGCGCTGGCTTTGTTTTGTCCGGAATTGTGTTGTATATTCCTTTTGTTTATTTTGAATGGCGTTTGCCTTGTTGTGATAACATAACTTGTTTCGTGCAACTGCTTATGGGCATATGTCCCACTGTGCTTGATCAAGATTTGGATCCTCGGGAGGATAAAAGCATGTGATGTTTTGACAATATTTGAATAAACGAGTATTCTTCCTTAAACACCACAACTGTCGGTTTTATGATAATAAACCAATGTTTAAGATAATGCGCTTGTTTGTCAATTATTCTTATAGAAGAAACGTTTTGTCATTTATATAAACTTAATGCCATTTAAGTAATGAAACTGATTCCATTATTGAATAGATTTAATACAAATGTATAAATAGTGCCTGTTATATTCTGTTACCTTAAAAAACAAAAATCACGCGACATATCAACACATTTTATGCATAACTAATTCAAAACTGAAATAAATCAGTTTACGTTGCAAATGCCTTCTACAAGAGATACATGTCTACAGATAGCTCGCAATTACGTGGTTTATCAGTAGACATATTAATCATTCCGAGTTGTATCGTAATTTCTTTCAGTCATACCCGCAGACAAATACATTAAAGTCCTAACTCACTTCCTACAAAAACCAAAGAAACAAACAACACTGTTGTGCTTTTGTGAGGAAAGCTTTGCTGTTTGTGTTATTACCATATGCACGAGTACAATACATGTATATCTATAGTACATCTAATGTACATTTTATGTAAACATGATAAAAAATAAGTCTTTAAAGTATAAAGAAATGGTAAAGAAATACACAAACTGACGTGATTTAAAACATAATCGGATTGTGATTATCATTTTAAAGATATAATCAAACTGTTATTACTTTTTATTGGATTATGATCATATTTTAACAACAATATTCTGATCAAGTTTATACATAACAGAATCACTGCAATCTGTTCGTTCATCCGTCTTCGGAATAACAACCGCCCAAACACAACTTAACCTAGTAGGAGCGATTACAAAAAACTAGACCTGAGTTCGTTGCAACATTGCGCGATCAAACTAAATGCATTACAATGCGGCGCACATGTATGTTATTTTTTTTACTTTTATTTCTGTAAATTTACTTAATTAAGGTCGAGTTTTACACGATGTAATTTACTGAAGTAAACTACTTCTGTGTAAGCACATAACTCCTAATCTGAGGTTTGTCGGAAAGAAACGAAAAGTTGCAATTGATATTTAAATAAAAATCTAATCAAAGATAAAATACAACAAAGAATTTCCCTTACAGTCCTTACACAACTAGACGAAGAATCAACAGAATATGTACCGATTTTAATTCTATATATGTATCAATGAAAGGTTCGTTCTATGAACGGGTTGTGTTAGAATTTCATCGCCAATATTCGTTGGTGTTCGCTATCAGAAAAAATAGTTTGAGCATGTACAAATCATTTGTCAAATGATTCGGAATATGTTCCATTATGAATCACTAACGGGCAGGTAGACGCACAGTTGTCTGATAGTCCTTTCGCTTTGGTACCAGTTATAATTCGTGGCGAGTCCTTGTTTGCTTACTCGTCGTGAATGCTTGTTTGGACTATTCGTCGATCGCGAGTGTTCCGAAGCACTACCAATCCCATTCCGATGAAGGTTCGTTAATCAATCTGTCCGGAAAGGCCAACAAACCGTTAACAAAATATGACACTACTGCGTTGTTATCACTGCTGTTCTGTGTCATCCGCATCTAATGAGCTACATAACAATTTCCCCAACGTTCCAAAGAGCTTTCCATAGATAAATTATGTACATTGGTGATTGTTCCATACTCCTTGCACATCGATAATTATATACAATTAACATTGCTTATTACAAGTAATTAAATTGATGTGCATCACCTCTCAGTTGGACAAAGGCAGCAGCTGATTTTAACCCACCAACACGAAAATGAAGAAGCTTTAGAGGGACCACCCTTTTCCCGAGTTTTATACTAGTACTTCACAACAACAGGACTGGTGTCAAGTGCCGTGTGGCAGCTGTAAAACGTTGCCCCATACTTCACTTCAGTGTTGTTATATGTTTTGGTTATTCCGGATCATTAATTCCAGCACATTAAGTATTGCTAAAGCCGGTGCTAGGGGGCGTGACGGATGTCCCTTATTACAGACTCATTCAAACCGAATCTGCAATTTTCATGCAAACTTGCTGTTTTTATTGCTTTGAGCTGACCATCCTTTTTCAGAGATTTGTATAAGCAATAGCTGCTGTTGAAGTTATAGAAATAGACTAGATGGTTGTACAACACTAGATCTGCCCTTGGATAGAGCATAGAATTGAATATACGTCAAAACAATAGCGAGGCGTATGTCAAAAGTCATATGCCATGAGTATTTGCATAACTAGGGGCATAGAATCACTAAACAACATATACTATACAGACCTCCATGGAAACAGGTTTTTCCTTGCTTCGTCGGGCCCTTGTGGTGATTTTTTGTTGCTCTGTCTTCCTTAAAGCCATTGAAACTTTTGTTATATTCATTGGGTTTGCTTTTATATGTTTCTACATGATCATTTCTGTGTTTTACTCATTTCACTTGTTGTAACCGTTGCAACTGTTAGAATTTCACTTGGTGGGGATTCATTTTATTTACAATGTCTCGTTTTAAAGGAACATGTTGGGGCTAAGAGTAGGGTTTGGTGCACCATTAACCGGTTTAAACTCCCCAGTGGTGCTTATGCTGCTGACCGTTCCAAGGCAGGCCCCCTCTGTGAACCTCAGATGTATGTCTAATGTTTCATACTATTATGGTGACACTTTTGTGCCCCTTGTTCTTTTCTCGACTACGGTAAGTATCTTCCCTTTGCCCCTAGTTTTTAACCAGGTTTTCAACGAAAACCGGGTTATTGTAATGCCGGGCGTCAACTTTTGGTTTCCGCTCAATAACTTTAGTTTGCTTTGGCCTATTGACACCAAACTTGCTGTGTATGTACCTGTGTATCAAGAGGCAGCTTGAGTTTGCTACACAGGTGTCTGTGATCAAGGTCAAGGTCACAATTACTAAAAATAGAAATACAGTTACCGCTCAATAACTTGAGTTTGCTTTGGCCTATTGACACCAAACTTGGTGTATGGATAGCTTATATCAAGAGGCAGCTTGGGATTGCTACCAAGGTGTCTGTGATCAAGGTCAAGGTCACTGTTACTAAAACAGAAATTCAGTTTCCGCTTAATAACTTAAGTTTGCTTTAGCCTATTGACACCAAACTTGGTGTATGTATAGCTTATATCAAAAGGCAGTTTGGGATTGCTACCCAGGTGTTTGTGATCAAGGTCAAGGTCACTGTTACTAAAAATAGAAATTCAGTTTCCGCTTAATAACTTGAGTTTGCTTTGGCCTATTGACGCCTAATTTCATCTGTAGGTAGCTTATATCAAGAGGCAGCTTGAAATTGCTATACAGTGGTATGTGATCAAGGTCAAGGTCACTGTTACTAAAAATAGAAATTCAGTTTCCACTCAAAAACTTGAATTTGCTTTGGCCTTTTGACGTCTTATTGATCTGTAGGTAACTTATACATGTATCAAGAGGCAGCTTGGGATTGCTACCCAGGTGTTTGTGATCAAGGTCAAGGTCACCGTTACTAAAAATAGAAATTCAGTTTCAGCTTAAATTGACCTATTGACACCAAACTTGGTGTATGGATAGTTTATATCAAGAGGTAGCTTGGGATTGCTACCCAGGTATCTGTGATCAAGGTCAAGGTCACTGTTACTAAAAGAGAAATTCAGTTTCAGCTCAATTACTTGAGTTTGCTTTGGCCTATTGACACCAAACTTGGTGTACAGGTAGGTTATATCAAGAGGCAGCTTGGGATTGCGACCCAGGTGTTTGTGATCAAGGTCAAGGTCACTGTTACTAAAACAGAAATTCAGTGTCCGCTTAATAACTTAAGTTTGCTTTAGCCTATTGACACCAAACTTGGTGTATGTATAGCTTATATCAAGAGGCAGTTTGGGATTGCTACCCAGGTGTTTGTGATCAAGGTCAAGGTCACTGTTACTAAAAATAGAAATTCAGTTTCCGCTTAATAACTTGAGTTTGCTTTGGCCTATTGACGCCTAATTTCATCTGTAGGTAGCTTATATCAAGAGGCAGCTTGAAATTGCTATCCAGTGGTATGTGATCAAGGTCAAGGTCACTGTTACTAAAAATAGAAATTCAGTTTCCACTCAAAAACTTGAATTTGCTTTGGCCTTTTGACGTCTTATTGATCTGTAGGTAACTTATACATGTATCAAGAGGCAGCTTGGGATTGCTACCCAGGTGTTTGTGATCAAGGTCAAGGTCACCGTTACTAAAAATAGAAATTCAGTTTCAGCTTAAATTGACCTATTGACACCAAACTTGGTGTATGGATAGTTTATATCAAGAGGTAGCTTGGGATTGCCACCCAGGTATCTGTGATCAAGGTCAAGGTCACTGTTACTAAAAGAGAAATTCAGTTTCAGCTCAATTACTTGAGTTTGCTTTGGCCTATTGACACCAAACTTGGTGTACAGGTAGGTTATATCAAGAGGCAGCTTGGGATTGCGACCCAGGTGTCAGTGGTCAAGGTCACTGATACTGAAAATAGAAATTCCGTTTCTGCTCAATAAATTTAGTTTGCTTTGGCCTATTGACACCAAACTTGATGAATGGGTAGCTTATATCAAGAGAGAGCTTTGGATTGCTACCCAGTTGTCTGTGATCAAGGTTAATGTATTCAGTTTCACGTAATAACTTGAATTTGACCTTTAGACACCAAACTTGCTGTGTGGCAGCTTTTGATTGCCACTTAGATATCTGGGAGCAAGGTCAAAATCATTTGCTTACAATAGAATTTTCAGCTTCTACTCAATAACTACAGTGCACTTTGACCTATTGATAGCTGACGCATCAAAACTTGGTCGTTAAAAAAAACTGGTTTTCGTCGCATTGCGGCGCTTCTTGTATTTTGTTTTAATTCCCCCTCACCGACCTTCTAGTCCCCTTCCCCAACACCCTTTTACGTTTGTAGGCCTATTAGTTAATCGTCCCTTTAGTATCCTTGTCGGTTTCTATTATTTCCTATTGTGTATTATTATGGTGATCTTCCCGTCCGTGCTTTGCTTTGTGCCCTGTCATGGGCTTT